CCCCAAAACCCCAAAACCCCAAAACCCCAAAACCCCTATAAAAACATGAATAACTGAAATAAATCAAAACTACAATGGCTAGATCTGGTAGCATTGACTTATACAACCTCTCGATTGAAGATACCTACATCACTGAGGAAATGGCTTCTTATATAGACAAAGAAGGTGAGTTATAGCTGGTGTAAAATTTGCTCGTTTATTTAAACCTCTTACTCGCTTAGCTTTTGATTTTAGATTATAAGTACTACTACGTTGACCCGAAAGTTAAGGCACCAGAGATGATGCAGTACTATACCCCTCCTGAGAGCATAATCAGGATCCAGCACAGTAAGAAGATCGTTGAAAGACTGATCTTCCCTGAAGAAGGTCCTTATTCAGAGAAAGAAGAGGAGAAATATGAAGAATTCTTTGATTATCTTGAAGAAATAGATGAAACTCTTCCAGAATCGATGACTAAGAGAAGAACAATGAGGTTTCTTGTAGGGAATCATTTTAAAATTAAGAACACCTACAAAAATATCCTCAAGACTCTTGAATGGAGAAATGGAATCAGACCACTAATCGTCTCTGATGATATGAAGCTTCTCCTCGATCACGGATATATGTATCTTCATGGCAGAGATCGTCACTTCAGACCAATTTGTTGCTCTAACACCAAAATGTTAACCGAACTCGACTTTGATCTTGACGAGTGAGTGAAAGTAGGATGGTTTTTATGTTTCTATATCATCGACCAGCTCCTAGTCAGAGAAAAAGTCGAAAATTGGATATTCATATCTGATCTTGGAGGGCTCTCTTTGAGGAAAATCCCGACGAAACATCTTAAAAAGTTCATGATGGAAGCTCAAGAATATCAAAAGTGCAGAATTCGTAAATTTTATTTCTTCAATACAACTTTTGGTTTAAGAGCTATTTATGCTCTTGTCTCTCCTTTCCTTGACAAGGTGACTAAGGATAAGACTCAATTAAAGAAGGAAGCTTATAATGATGAACTACTTGAGTTTGCTCATCCTTCTCAGATAGAAGAAAAATATGGAGGAGAGGCAGAAAACTTGACCGAATGGTGGCCTCCAAGATGTCCTTCTGAAGAATATGATGTTGACCCAGCTCATTTAGATATCCCAAAGAAAACTGAGAAGCGGTCTAAAAAGTCTAAGAAAAATGCTGAAAAACAGGAGAAATCTGCTAAAGGATCTAGCCCTCATAAACCAGTCGAAGCTAATGATGTCGTATTTGAGACTGTTGAGGCTCCTCAGGAACAACCTATGGAAGAAGAAAGAGTGAAAAGACCTGCTCCAAGAGCTACTAAGGACAAGAATTGTGCATGTACAATTTTTTAATACCTTCCCAATTTAAGCTTTTGAGGTTCAATATTATTCCTGGTGGATGGGGTTTTGGGGTTTTGGGGTTTTGGGGTTTTGGGGTTTTGGGGTTTTGGGG